CAAACAAATGGAAGAACATTACCATGCTCATGGATAGGAAGAATCAATATCATGGAAAATGGCCATACTGCTCAAGGTAATTTATATATTCAATGTTCATCCCCCATCAAACTACCAATGACTTTCTTCTTCACAAAAATTGGAAAAAACTACTTTAAATTCGTATGGAACCAAAAAAGAGCCCACATTGCCGAGACAATCCTAAGCCAAAAGAACAAAGCTGGAGGCATCACGCTACCGTGACTTTGAACTATACTACAAGGCTACAGTAACCTAAAACAGCATTGTACTGGTACCAAAACATGAGATATAGACCAATGAAACAGGAAAAAAATTCTTTAAAATGTAGAGGAAAAATCACAAGAGACTGGGTTACCAAAATACATAGTTGAGGTCCACATGCTTATGTGCCCTTCCAAGGGAGTGGGAAGGAGGGAGGGTAGGCAACCCAGGAGAATTAATGACTTAAAAGAAATGGTCATCAAGAGAGAAGGTATATTAGTCAGCATTCTATAGAGGGGATAGAATTAAAGAAATGTGTGTGTGGTGTGTGTGTGTGTATATATGTGTATGGTGTGTGTATATAATATACACCAACACACACACCACAATATAATGTTATGAAGGGGGATTGTGATGTTTAATACTGAGTGTCAACTTGATAGAATTAAAAGGATTACAAAGTATTGATCCCTGGTTGTTGGGTTGTGTCTGTGAGGGTGTTGCCAAAAGAGATTAACATTTGAGTCAGTGGGCTGGGAAAGGCAGATCCACCAGTAATCTTGTCGGCACAATCTAATCCACTGCCAACGAATATAAAGCAGGCAGAAAAATGCAAAAAAAACAGAAACTGGCCTAGTCTCCCAGCCTACATCTTTCTCCCATGCTGGATCCTTCCTGCCCTGGAACATCAGGCTCCAAGGTCTTCAGTTTAGAGACTTGGACACGATCTCCTTGCTCCTCAAGTTTGCAGATAAGCTATTGTGGACCTTGAGATCCTGTAAGTTAATATTAATAAACACCTATATATATATGTTTGAGTGTGTGTGTGCTTATGTATATATAAATATATATCTCACCTGTTAGTTCTGTCCCTCTAGAAATCCCTGGCTAATACAGGAAGTGTATTAAGTATTAACTTAAACAATCACAAGGTCTCACAATAGGCTGTCTGCTGGCCAAGGAGCAAAAAGAGCCAGCCAGAGTTCCAAAACTGAAGAACTTGTTCGAGGGGAGGAAGCATCCAGCACAGGAAAAAGATGAAGTCTGGGAGGTGAGGTCAGTCTCTCTTTTCACATTTTTCTGCCTCCTTATAGTCTGCCATACTGCCAGGTGATTGGATTATGCCCACACAGATTAATGGTGTGTGTGCCTTTCCCAGTCCACTGACTCAAATGTTAATCTTCTTTGGCAACACCCTCACAGACACACCCAGGATCAACACTTTACATCCTTCAATCCAATCAAGTTAACACTCAGTATTAACCATCACAAGCCCACCTCTTGTCAACTTGAACCCACACACATCTCCTAAGATCAAACATAATCTTAAAATAAAGACAATAATAAGGTCATAATTACCCCTAACATAATACAACTACCCTTCCTACAACCAGAAATGCACCAATCCCCAACCCAAATACTATTACATAAGGTGAACCATACTTAAATGCTGATATGAAGTCAATAACTCTTATGTCACCTGATAACGAAAAAGGAAATGAAATCAAGATATTTTCTTAGTACAAATGTACACAGGCACAAACATGTTTTTAAGAAAAGAAGAAGGAAATACTCATGACAGTTCCAGTCCTCATTTCTGCAGCCAGTTACATCGTCGTAGCTGGTATTGATGACTACCTTCTTCCACTATTCATTCTGTATTCCCTTTGCCTTCAGCAAGCAACTCAGGAGGTCATGACCCCAGAAGGATCTGGACCATTTGTAGTCCTACCTGGATTGGGCTGTTGTAGTTTCCCACTGACCTTAATTACAGTGCTTGAAAATACAAAGAGACGCCCTAGTGGATCTCCTGTATTCCATGCGTAGTCTGTCTCCTTTCCTTGTGGAGTAGTGGACTGACTTTAGGATTCCAAAGTGTCCAGGTGGCAATCTTAACTTTCAGTTTAACGGAATCGTTATTGTGTCTTTTGGTGGCAGTGTTCCTCCCTCTGGAACTAAGACGTCTAGGCCAGTCGAACGTAATGTCGTGGGAACAGAAAGTAAAATTTTTGCTAGTGGATCACTAGGGGTGATAGTGAGTGGTACTACTTTCACTTCCACCCCTTGATTCCTGGACTTGTGAATCCTGGCTATGGAAGAAACAGTACCAAACATTTGGTGCTGATTCAGAGCATACATGGCCTTCTGGAGTACGTTACCCAGCCCTGCAATGTGTTGTAACCTAGTTGACATTGTAATTGTGAATTTAAAAGGCCATTACACCATTCTATCAATCCAGTTGCTTCAGAATGATGGGGAACATGGTAAGACCAGTGAATTCCATGAGCATGAGTCCACTGCCCCACTTCTTTAGCTGTAAGTGAGTGCCTTGGTCAGAGGCAATGCTGTATGGAATACTGTGATGGTGGATAAGGCATTCAGTGAGTCCATTAATGGTAGTCTTGGCAAAAGCATTGCATGCAGGTAGGCAAACCATGTCTTCCATGAGTGTCTATTCCAGTGAGGAAAAAACTCTGCCTTTTCCATGATGGAAGAATCCCAATATAATCAACCTGCCACCTGGTAGCTGGACAATCACCTCGGGGATTGGGGCAATACAAAGAGCTCAGTGTCGGCCGGGCGCGGTTGCTCAAGCCTGTAATCCCAGCACTTTGGGAGGCCGAGGCGGGTGGATCACGAGGTCAGGAGATCGAGACCATCCTGGCTAACATGGTGAAACCCCGTCTCTACTAAAAATACAAAAAACTAGCCGGGCGTGGTGGCGGGCGCTAGTCCCAGCTACTCGGAGGCTGAGGCAGGAGAATGGCGTGAACCTGGGAGGCGGAGCTTGCAGTGAGCCGAGATCGCGCCACTGCACTCCAGTCTGGGTGACACAGCGCGAGACTCCGTCTCAAAAGAAAAAAAAAAAAAAAAAAGAAAACAAAGAGCTCAGTGTTGGTCTCTTCTGTCGTAAAATTGGGCACTCAGCAGTGGCCATAGCCAGGTCAGCCTTGGTGAGTGAAAATCCACATTGCTGAATCCATGCATAGCCTCCATTCCTGCCTACATTGCCACTGTGTTCATGGACTCATTGGGTGAGATGACAGGAGTGTCTGGGGAAAGAGGGTGAGTCCACAGAATGGGTCATCTTATACACTTGATTATCAAAATCCTCCTCTGCTGAGGTCACTTGTTGGTGAACACTCACATGGAATACAAATATCTTGACAGCTTTTGACCACTCAGAGAGGTACATCTCCAAACCTTTTCCTCAAATTTCTTTGTCACCAAATTTCTTCTTTTGTCCCTGATCATCCAGCCAAACCATCATTTCTCCTTCCCCAATGCAGTTACTCTGGTAAAGGCTGGAGGTCTCTTTGGAGAATGATGGGAGAAAGATTAACTGCATAAATTATCGGTAATGTTGTGGGGTCCTTCCTCAAGGGGACCCGGCCTCCCCTTCATTCAAGGGGTTCTGGGTTTATAAACTTGCTCAAGTCTGGAAATTGATTGAGGGGCCATGAATCTCTGTTTTTATAATTCTAATTACTATATTGCTCCTTTGATCTAGAAATTTTCTCCTTATATAAATTAAGTAGGAATGCAGTAGGCTTCATATCAATTTCACATCTAGGAACACCATGATTAATTAGCAGTGCCAGAGCTTTACATGAGTCAGACTATTCAGATTGCTGCTTTGTCTCTTCTGTCCATTACAGTAGCTATGCCCACCTTGCCTTTGAGGGTTGAGTGCCACCACTTGGCCCCTTACACCTTAGGATCCAGTTATACTCAATTGTATTTAAATTTTGTAATTGAGTGACTACAGTTCTCACTATTAGATCTGACATACAGAGAAGAGCCATTACAGGGCTCTTCAAAGATGCAGGTGCTGCCCACACAAAGCTATTTTGCAAGGCATTTGTCAAGGGTATTAAGTATAGAGTCACTAAACTCCTTGCTTCTCAGGAGTGATGATTCAGGAGTGTCTAATGCATTTATTTTGCATAACTCTCTAAACTGTTCATGCCAAGGACTATCAGTGTTCTCCATACTATTAGAAGTACAATCCTTAGCATTTTGGGTTCTAATCATATTAAGCAGCTAGTTCCAGAAACCCCAAGACCAATGGAAGAACTCCATCCTTAATATTCTGTTCCTGTAGAACCATTCCTGGTACCAAGACCTCTGTTAGTGAGGGTTCTCTAGAGGGACAGAACTAACAGGATGTGTGTGTGTGTGTGTGTGTGTGTATGAATTTATTATGTATTAACTTACAGAATCACAAGGTCCCACAATGGGATGTTTGCAGGCTTGAGGAGCAAGGAGAGTCAGCTCAAGTCTCAAAACTGAAGAACTTGGAGTCCAATGTTTGACGGCAGGAAGCATCCAGCACGGGAAAGAGATGTAGGCTGGGAGGCTGGGCCAGACTCACTTTTTCACCTTTTTTCTGCCTGCTTTATATTCACTGGCAGCTGATTAGATGATGCCCATAGACTGAGTAAGGGGGTCTGCCTTTCCCAGCCTACTGACTCAAGTATTAATCTCCTTTGGCAACACCCTCAAATACACAGCCAGGAACAATACCTAAATCCTTTAATCAAATCAAGTTGACACTCATTATTAACTATCACAGGATTACAGGCCAGAGCCATCACACACAGCCTTATTGTGTATTTCATGCAATATCCTGATTTCACATTTTATCTGTGACTTAATAAAGTTTTCTTGCTATGACCCCAAACTGGTAGTACTTGAAAGCACATTCAAATATATTCTGGGACAATTCATAACTGGCAAAATTTTTAGCCTTGTGGAAAGAGTTACCTTACTGGCCAGTCAGCTGTCAATTCCCCATCATTACTATCACTTCTGGGAGCACATTTTCCAAAACCCCTTTTCTCTATATGGTTTCTTTGGGGTTGGTCAATGAGAGGCACGCCCATGAAATGTGGAAGTCAGAGTGGTGGTACAATGACACCTGAAGTAAAACACGTAGAGTTATGTGTGAACTGGAGAATCACCTGAAGACGTGCTGCAGGCAGCTGAGAGCATCAGCACTCCCAATCCTGGGCATCCCAGACGGGTCTGAGGATCACCACACGGGTACTCAGCACATACCACCAGGGGCAGGTGCACTCTGGCTTCTGGAGGAGCACCTGAGAATTCCCTGTCTCTGGTACCTGCTTCATGAGTAACATACCATAGGCTTTGGAAACACTGTGGTTTAGACTCTAATTTATCCAGTTTGAAGAATTTCTCCTTGGAATACTGAGAATAGATTCTCTTTTGCTGTATGAATTCCAATTATCCCATAACACAGACTCCTCAGGTGGACTTATCTCTCTTCTTTTCAGTCAGGATAGGCATTGTGATGTCTTTTCTGCGGGGATGAGGGTGAAAGAGGCTTAGGGTTCAGAGGAGCCTCCCTGGTCCCCTCTACAGACATCTCCCAATGACTTTCAAAATCTGACTGAGTTTGAGAAATGCCCTCAGCAGATAGAGGCACCAGGAGGAGGATCTGGGGTGGCTCAGCCTCACACATCTGCTTCCTTGGGGGTTTATGTTATGACTTGTAACACTGTGGGAGGGGTACTGTAATAATGTTGACAATAATAAGTTGCAAAATCTTCAGACTGCAGGCTGCTGATGGTGAGAGTGAAATCCGTCCCAGATCCACTGCCGCTGAACCGAGAGGGAATCCCACTTTGCAAACTGGATGCCTCATAGATCAGGAGCTTAGGAGTTTCCCCTGTTTTCTGCTGATACCAGGCTAAATCATTAGTAATGCCCTGACTCGCCCGGCAAGTGATGGTGACTCTGTCTCCTACAGATGCAGACAGGGAGGATGGAGACTGGGTCATCTGGATGTCACATCTGGCACCTGAAATTGGAAATATAAAACAGATGTCCACACAATTAATCATCTTGTAAGAGAACTTCCCTGAAGTTCCAGAGAGTGAAAGCTGAGTAAATTCTTTTTTTTCCTTTTTCCTTACCTGAGAGCAAGAGCAGCAGAAACCCCAGGAGCTGAGCGGGGACCCTCATGTCCATTCTGTGTCCTGACTGGGACTGACTCCTGCACAGGGTGTGACCAGCCTGTAAAAAAAGTCTTCAGGGCAGGGGGCTGTGCTGTGGGAACATGCAAATCAGCAGGGGATGGGGCAGGCTGGGCACAGCTGCAGGGCTGGCTCATCTCAGTAACTCAGCACAGGCGCAGTGTCCCCAGGGTCTCAGGTCAGACTAGGGCAGCGCAGATTAATCTTGAGAGAATACGTTTCTCTTTGGTGGACATACAGTTACAGAACATATTTCTGAAGTGAATTTTCAAAATTTTCAATGAACCTAAGACTAGATTAAGTCATGTATTATATACTTGTATTAGGAATGCATAGGAAAGCATCACTTTTGACAGAAAATTCATAATAAAGTTATAGAAGTGAGGCTGTCAGAACTTTCAGTTACTCTCAAAAGAATTTGATGAGTGTGAAAGTATTTAGTGCTATACTAACAATGTCTCTTTCTGTGTCAAATTGTGTTTTTTTAAAGAAAATAAAAAGAGTTTATCATAAGTATGTTTAATAAATTCAATAGAATTTACTAATAAACTTAAGCCACTGTTCTTAGCATTATACGGAAAAGAGATCTGCTGAGGATGCACAAAGATGATAGCTGTGACATGCATAGATCTCCATTATCCAGAGCTACGGATCTCTTTAATGCTCAGGGGCTAAATTGGCTGCACCCTATTCTTGGCATGAGGATCCCCATATGCTATCCCCTTTCCTGCCTTTGGGTATGATTTCTTATGGTGCACCAGCATGGAGAGCTGACTGATGATGCCAGGTCTGATTATTTCAACTAAAATCTCTGTTTCACTCGCTAACTGTAAGAGCCTGGATTAGGATCATTGTAAACCATTGATCAATCTAGGCTCAAATAATCAATTGTTTCAAAGTAGAGTAAGAAAGCCCACATTCCCTGGGTAAAGCTTTGAGCTGCACTCCCCCATCAGCCTGTTCCCCTGGGGTCTCAGGTGCATCTGCCCTAAAGCCTGGCTTTCTGGAGAGCAGATGAGAGAGAGGCCCTGGGGAAAGGCCAGGTCAGTGAACCCTCCCTCCTTAGCAAGAGTGGCTGCTGTCCAGTGCATGTTCTTGTTGTGCAGCATCAGTAATCCTTTCCTCTTTTACTCTTTAGCAGTGAGTGAGAACATCATCCTGACCCAGATGCCAGCCTTCCTGTTTCATATCCATTTAGAGAGTCTCCATCACCTGCCAAGCCACTGCCCATGTAGATGAAAAAAATATTTTGAATGTGAATGCATGACTAAGAGTGGCCAGACCAAGCTCTCGCAGCCTGTGCACAAACCGCCTGCTGCTTTTCCAGGGGACTGGATTTCAGGGAGATGGCTACAAAAAAGCCTAGCAGGATCCAGATATCCATATTTAGAGAGATATACCTCTGGATTCAAGTGCACATTTTTTCTGTGTAATTTTAGCAGCCATTGTTACTATATCTTGGCTTTTCTATAGATTCTACTTCAGCTGACTTTCTATGGTGCTTTCTGCCCCACTGCGCTCTCACTGAACCTGAGGAAGGCAGCTCTGCCTGCAATTGAGGCAGACCTCATGGCCTGGAATTAGCATCCCCAAGGACAGCTATCAATCAGTTATGACAAGGGAGGTATATACATACCCCAGCTCCCTCATCTCTCAGGTGGAATAATAGAGGCATTTTTGTTGTGTTTTTTTGTGGGCTTGAGTTGTCCTCACCCTCAGAGGTGGCTCGTTGCTGAGGCACCTTTCACTGTCCCTTCTCTCTTTCCTTGCTCACTTGCTTGTTTCCTGCACTTAGTAAATATACTGCCTGCAGGTGAATCTTTGTCATCCTTGTCACCAGGGGGACTCAACCTAAGGCACTGGAAAAATTCTCATTCTTGGAGGGCATTTTTGGTTTGAACTATTGCCACTTCTCATGTTTTAATGCATAGATAAAGTCAGAAAATTTAATAAATATTTAAATTCCCTTTCCCAATCTTTCTTAGATATGATTTTAGCAGAGATTCGTTTTTTCTTTGTCAGAAAAACAAAGAATTCCTCCATAAATGGCTGCGCATCATGGAGTCCACTTAGAGCAGAGAGTCAGAATGTCCCAGAATTTGACATCCACACATCGGAGAGTACTAGACTCTCAGGTTTTTTTCTAGGTTTATTGCCCATAAATCTGGGTCTGTTGGCTCAAACAGACCCAGATAAATAAATCTAGGTCTATTGCCTCAAAAATCTATTGTGATATTTTTATTCTACCTTAGGGCAAGACCATCGTGGGGATAATGAGAGTTGTTTGTGAAATGAATAATACACCCCCTAAACACATCATTGTTCTAATATCTGGAATTTACCATTATTACTTATGAATATGCCAAAAGTCACTTGACAGACATGGTTAAGAATTTTGAGGTCAGGAGAGTATCCTGAATTATCTGGGTGAGATCAGCATAATCACATGTTTCCTTGTAGTAGGGAGGGAGGAGAAGGGTCTCAGCCAGAGAGGAGCTGGGACAATGGAGAGGGATGCTGGAGTGATGGAGGAAGGGACCATGGAGCCAGGAAGCTGGGAGCATCAGAAAAATTCAAAGGTGGATATTGGATTCTCTTTCTTGAAGCCTTCAGAATGAATACTGCCCTATTACTCCTTGATTTTACTTCATTGAGGCTTCTGACCTACAGAAATGTAAGATAATACACTTGTGTTTTGTGGAGCCAGTAAGGTTGTCGTAATTTGTTACAGCAGCAACAGGAAACCAACATAAGGGGAAGGGGTGTGTTTTACTTCCCTAGTGTATCACTGTCCTCTGTTCTCTCAAACAGTTCTATGTTGTTGTCTTTTGCTGTCAATTTCAACAAGACACAGAGAACATTTTTCTATGCGGAGAGCTAGCGCCAGAATTCTTCTTAAGTAGAAAGTCTCTTGAGTAAATCTCTGGGTTAGGTCTTGTACAATCTTGGTATCTAAGAGCCTGGAGGTCATCTCTCACAGCACATGGAAGAGAAGGGGGCTATTCGTTTGCTATTTTAAGATTCGGAGGGACATTAGCTGTACAAGACACAATCTGAAAAGCGAGGACTGAGTCAGAGAGATGAGAGTGGCAGAGGAGGAGACAAAATGTGGTCAGGGCCATGCAAGATGTGACCCTGCTGCCATGGTGTTTGTAAAGGCTTTGAGCAAGTTGTGCTTTGTAGACAAAACTGTAGAAGGGTCTGGGTTCAAGCTTAGTGTCAGCGTGATGAGGACAAAGGGCCGCAGTGAGCCTGCATTAAGAACTTCTCCCTGCACTACTGGCTTTGTCTCTTAGGTTTTTTAGGTTGTGGGTTCCTCTATGGAATGAATGTGGCTATTTGGAAGGAACGTAGTTAAGGTCAGACAGACCTAGATTCCAAGTTTAGCTTCAACAACTACTGACCAAGTGATTTTTATGCAAATCAGCCTTGTACTCTAATGAACAGTTTCCTCATGTATGAAATGGGGCACTGATGATGTGAAGGGGTGTCCTGAGGGTTCCACCAGCGGATGCACCATGAAGTGAACATACATGTATAGACAGACACACACACATACATGAGAGGAGTATCTAGTGCTCCTTTTGTGGATCCTTGAATAACTCAGAATGTTATGTGAGATATTACCAGTCATATGTCATTTTCAGCTAAAATTATCAATGTTTGCCTTGTAACTAAGAGATGCCTCTCTGTACACTGTAGGTTTCATGTACATTTCTTCAATCACAGAATTTTCCACCAATCTATTTATGACTAGTATCAGAATGTTAAGCAAGGAGATTGCAAACCACCACAGCACCTTTAGTCTGGATTTTCCCAGAGCCCCGTTTGTGTTAGTGTCCTCAGGCTACTGTAACAAGTTTTCAAAAATGTGGTTGCTTTGAACAACAGGAATGGAATCACTCATAGTTCTGGAGACCAGAAGTCCAGAATCAGTTTCACTGGGCTAAGGTCTTGGAGACGTCAGGTCTAGCTCCTTCAGAAGCTCTCGGGAGGAGTCTTATTTAGCTCTTCCATCTTCTGGTGGCTTCCACTCTCCTTGGCTGTGGACATATCACTGCAATCTCTGCCTCTGTGTTTACATTGCCTTCTCCTCTTCAGTCTATGGTAAGTGTCTCTCTACCTCTTTTTTATCTCAGGACTCTTGTGATCACATTTAGGGATCACTTGATTAACTTAAGATCATTTCCCTGTTTCAAGCTCCTTAATTTGCACCTGCAAATTTCCCAAATACCTTTATTTCCCAAAAAAGACACAGGCATAGGCTTCTTGTAATGAAACCTCATTATTTGAGGATGATATTCAGCACTACCACATTACAGAACCAGGTCTCAGTGTTAATCCTGTACATACATCACAATCTCTATCTCTCTCTCTCTCTCTCTCTCCCCCCTCTCCCTCTCTCTCTCTCCACACTTCCTGGCTTTCTCCTTTTCTCGAGGTCATAAATCTCTTCACTTCCCTAAGTGTATCTAATGACACCTCTACACCAATAAGTATCTGAGACAAGTCTCAATCCATTTAGTAATTTATTTGTTCAAAGTTAAAGACATATCAGTGAAACAGCCTCAAGAGGTCTTGAGAACGTGTGCCCAAGGTGGTCGAGCTACAGCTTGGTTTTACACATTTTAGGGAGACATGAGATATCAATCCATATGTGTAAGCTGTACATTGCTTTGATACGGAAAGGCAGGACAGCCCAAAGGATGGGGGTTGTTGGGGACTTACAGGTCATAGGTGGAATCAAAGTTTCATAGGTAGTTGAAAGAGTTTATCTAATGACCTGTAATCAACAGAAGGGAGTTTCTGGGTTTAGAAAAGGGTTGTGGAGCCAAGTTTTCATTATGCCGATGAAGCCTTCAGGTAGCGGACTTCAGAGAGAATAGATTGCAATTGTTTCTTAGCTGACTTAAAAGCTGCCAGACTCTTAGTTAAATCTCTCTAGGTCAGGAAAGAGACTCGAAAAGGAGTAGGATTCGCTACAGAATGTGGATTTTTCCCATAAGAAACAGCTTTGCAGAGATGTTA